TCCTGCTGAGGTTTCAACCTTAACCAGCTTTTCTCAAGTGAGTTCTGTGTTGTCAAAAAACAATATCTCAGCAGAAAAGCAGTGGTGCTAGTGGGATACCATTTTTCAAAGTAGCGATGTGATAAACCCAATCTACCCTGCATAAGAAGAGAGGTCATTAATGATTAAATCAATCCAGTTATTACTGTTAGTCTAATCGTAGGAAGCGTTTAATAGAGGATAAGGGTAAAACGAAATCTAAGTGAATCACTCAGTGTATTTAACTTCCAGGTTTATGCTTGAATCCAAAAGGAATGCATTTTAGTTGACACATACTCACACCCCCACACACATGCACATAAAGGAAAAGAAAATGACTGTTTATCGAGTTTCTAATATATGCCACAAACTGTGTTTAGCTCTTTATGCACTATCTCACTTTAATCCTCACCCCCAAAGTCATTGCATAAATTATTTCAAATATTCCCAGAGATGGTCATTTTGTTTTAGCATGTCACTCAGTCATTCCAAATTGTATTTACAGAGAAAAATTGCTACAGAGTATGAAGTCAGAAACATTCCTCAAAAAATACTTCCTTTATAGGTTTTACCTTTAGAGAGTGTTCTTTGGTTCATAACTGTGACCTTTTAAGTGTTCCTGTTCTCCGCATTCCCTCTGGATGGAGGCAAGGAGTATCACTGGTAGAAATGAGGAGGGAAGGGTGAGAAGGAACAGACTGGGCTGCCAAAGGCAAACTCTGAGTTTCTCACGACGTTGTATAAGGCCAGCCACACTTATCGATGTGGTAGGGTGGTGGTGGTGAGGCCAGTGGGCAACTTTTATGGCCAACAGTACCAAGGATATTGGTAAATTTTCAAGAAGGCTATGTCTTAAAGACCAGACACTACTGACCCTGGGGCTCTTTCTCTGGACCGCTAAACCAAGTACTTATTCCATAAGTCAGTGGGAAAGACAAGCAAGGCCTTTAGCCCTGAGGCGGGCAGCTCAGGCTCAGCAGGGAGGTTCTTTTCCCATATCGATCTTGGCCCACTCCCCTCTTAAACTCATCATGCAGGAAAACTCGTTGTTGGCCACAGGGTTCTAAACAGGAGCAACTGAAGACAAATTAGCCACCCCAAGGAAGGCACAAAGCGAGGGAGACCAGGGAGTCAGGCTCAGAAACCTGTTTCTTCTTTCAGTGTCCTCTGCCGGAGCATTGTGACTGATGGCGGGAGTCGCATCGCAGTGCATGAGCTGTTAGCAGATGCAGACGTTCGGCTCAAAGCACGTATGGCCCAGTTCCTTCTGGTATGTTTCTGTTTGCCCATTGGATTTTAGAAGCATTTTGTTGATATTTATGGGGTTTTTTTTAAAGCTTATTAAAATTTTGTCTGGGTTTGCATTACATCTATAAAAGTAACCCGTGAGGAACTGCCAGTTTTATGATATTTATTCTTCCCATTTAGAAATCTGTCTTGCCTCTTCATTTGTTTGAGCCATTTTTATAACACCAATGAAGTTAAATCATCAAATTTAAGCACATCTCACAAAACCGTTTCATTAATTTTTATTCATTGTTACTATTATGAATGAGATATATTTTATTATATTTCCTCATTTATTATTATTGCTGGTATAGAAATATGCCATTAGTTAACTGTTTATATTCTTTCTCATTTTACTATTTTATTGTGTCTGTTAGCTTCTTGACAGATTCCTTCAGAATTTAAAAGGTCGTAATCACGTGGTATTTTTTTCTCCAGACTATTGTTACTCTTTCAAAAAGAGCATTATTCAGTTAAGTAGATATATACTATTAAGAGTTAAAATGCCCAGTTTGGCCGGTTAAATGCACTTCATGCCCATCCTTTTAATAGCACAACTTAAATTTTGAGAATTATGATAAGCAGAGGCAGTGGGATCTGGGCTAGGAAGTGGTGGCCAGATTTAACATAAGATTATCTAGGTATGAAGCAACTTCCTGTTACTGCTAATATTAAGTCTGTATCACATCCTGGGAAATGCCAGGAGAGCTGGTCTAATGTGTTTTTAACATTTTTGCTTGACAGTGTTAAAAATTATTCTATAAAGTGTATTCATAATTTAAGACTTTCTTTTTAAAATTATTACTCTTTTTAAACATAACAATCCAACTAAATCTTAACATCTTCATCTTTGGAAATTATCACGGGGCTGAACCTTCATCTTTTAAGCATAAGGTTACCCTTTTTGAAATAGTTGAATATCATTCAGAGTCAAGACTTATAGAATATAAGCTCCATGAGGATAACACTGTGATCTGTCTTGGTCTTACAGGATACCTCGGTCTCGGTGCTTGGCATATAATAAGTGTTCAGTAAAAATTTTTGTTCTCGATACTGAATAACTTTATGAACAAGCTAGAAATACAGTTTTGATTTAAAGTGAAATATATTGGTTAGTTAATAACTGAATTTCCTGTATGACTCAGAAACTAGCTCTGGAGACAATTCCATCAATGAAGTCCATGTGTGCCTGAGACATGAGTCATCCTCTATTAAGAAGGATTATCTGTAGCAAGAGCGGCCCTCCTAATAGCAAGCTCCCTGGCTGCCCACCACACTCGCCACCCCTGTCTGCTAAGGGGTCTGAAGAGCCAGCATCAGCACAGGGCAGAAGAGCAAAAAAGACACCAAAAGTCACTGACTGACAAAGAGTTGTTTTCAAACTTTCATATGATTTTGTTTATTTATATAATTATTCCAAGAGTGGTTTAGTCAGTGACCCTGAATAACAGTAAAAAATGTTTGTTTCATGTAATGGTGCCGTAGAGTGCCATACTTCAGTTTTTACTACTTTAAAATAAAAATAATTTCTCTAGATGAATTCTTTATTAACAGCTTTTTAAAAGAGTATGTTTAACTATACCACTGGTTTTGCTGATAACTACAACATACCTTTTTGTATTGTATTTGCTTTACAGCATCAAATTTGTATCATACCCATTGAAGAATTCTCAACCGAATATTTGAAACCTCAAATCAGATGCATTGCCAGTTATGAGCCATATGTTAATCAAAGGTAATGTGTTTTCTTCTTTTCTCCCTTATTTATGGTCTGAGTGATTCTGTAATGCTTGTAACTTTATACTTCATTTCAGAAGTGATCATGGGCCAAGGTACTAAATGTGGTTGATGAGTAAAAAAAAAAATACAGATAACTTATTTACTCCAGAAGTCTTTTCAGAATTCTGTAATATCAGGAAGCTGACACAGTAGCAACTTGGGGAAATGGTTAAGCCTAGCTCTCATCGGCAATTACTCTGAGTTCTGTTCTGAGCCCTCACAAAGACTCACTTTGTTCCAATCCGTTAATCTCTGAGGCTCTTCATTTGAAAAATCATGAAAATAATGACCCACCTCATGACTATGTTAGGTGAATTAGCTAACCAGTGCTTATTGGGGTTTTGGTAGGGTTGTTTTGATATAGATTCAAAAATAATTTATAGACATAGTCATAAGATCTGTGCACATGGCTAGGACTATGGAAACTACCAAGGCTGCCTAAAGAAATGATATACATTTGTTCTCTGTTTTTATACAATTTTATGTCAACATTTATGTTTAGAGATGAATAATAATGTTTCACTGCATCGATCTCATTTAACAATTAATTTTAGTTCTATAAAGGGAAGTTTCAATAAGTTTCTGGATAGCTTACTTTCCCTCGAAATTAAGATTTTTTTTCTATTTTAGCTCATTGCATTGAGCAGGAGGCTGGAATACACTTGGCTAGTCGACAGCACTGAATATCTTTATTTAAAGATCGCCACAGCCCTGTGGTTTCCCCAAGACTGGATCTTTTTGATGCTAACATGGTCTTAGGTTCAGAGTCTGAATCTTCACCAGTGGACAGTTTTTTTTTTTTTTTTGGTCATTTTTAAAATAAGATTTTTAAATATTCTATTTTTCAGAGCCACTTGTGTCTCCTTATCCCCTGAAACTCCTCCAGCAGCATTAATTTTGGATGTCCCAAGTGGTGGGTCTCCCCATCAACTGCCCCAAGATCCTTTGCCTTCTGCTGATGTTGTTACTGGGGTCACCTTAAAGGCACCACAGGTAGGACTCCCAGAATGTGTTGTTTCTACACCAGTAGTTCTCAAAGTATGGCCCTGAACCAGCAGCATCTGTATCACCTGGGAACTTGTTAGACATCTTCACAAGGCCCACCATCGATCTCTTGAATCAAAAACTCTGGAGATGGGGCCCTCGAATCTGTGTTTTAACACCACCCCACTCCCCACCCAGTGGATTCAGATGTCCTTAAATGTTCAGAACCTCTGTTCTCAACAGTGGAGGATTCCAGACATGCAGGCATCTGGTTAATCTTTATGACCAGCC